AGCCTGATCCGGAGCTCTGCCTCCAGCTCCAACAACGCCTTTGTTGTTCTTAGCTCTCGAGGGAGTGTTTCGAGGCAGGTCACGGTGGTGGCAAGGAGGGGAGGGCACCCTTTCAAACCCGAAAAGCACACAAAACAAAAAAGACAGACATCTCCACTCCCCTGACACCCGGCCAACTCCCTGAGCGCATAAAAAGGGGGACTCGGCCTCTGCGCCGGCAGGACTCGCCTCCTCTTGCCTCCGAAGCTCTGCGCCGCTTGCCTCGTCCCTCCTCGCGTTGACCGCTGCGGACCCGTCGCCATGTCTCGCCAGTCCTACGCTCTCGGCAAGGGGTTCAGCTCCAGCTCGGCTTGCCTGGGGAGCAGGGGCAAGGTCTCCTTCGGCTCTGTGTCCCACGGAGGGCACAGGGGACATGGTGGCTTCAGCAGCAGGAGCCTCTATAGCTTGGGTGGGGGCAGAAGTGCCTCTCAGGGAGGATTTGGCGGCGTCTGCAGAGGTTTTGGGGCTGGTGGCCACGCAGGCTTTGGCTACGGCTTATGCAGGGGCAGTATATGCCAGCGGCTATGGTGGTGGGGCCGGAGTCGGCTTCATTGGAGGCATCAGTGGTGGTTACGGTGGCTTCGGTGGAGGATTTGACAGCATGGTGGGAGGTCAAGGCTTCGCCTCTTGCCCGCTGGGTGGCATCAGGGAAGTGACTGTCAACCAGAACCTGCTGACCCCGCTCAAGCTGGAGATTGACCCCGAGATCCAGAAGGTGCGAACACAGGAGCGGGAGGAGATGAAGAAGCTCAACAACAAATTCGCCTCCTTCATCGACAAGGTGAGAGCGGCTTCGACCCGGGGCGGGGAGGTGGAGGTCGGAGCTCACCACAGCTTGTGCTGGTTGCAATTATTGTGAGGCGCCCATCTGGTAGAGCCCGGAGAGCCAGGGGTTGCCCACACCACCCCACAGAACCCCTGCAGACAGAGGGACGGTGGCTGGAGAAGTGACTCTCCCAAGCTTGTGGAGAAATCTGGGAAAAGGATCCTCGGTTCTTAAGACCGTGGAGCCGGTGCCAAGCTGTGGGACCATCTACCTGCGTGCAAGGTGTCCTCAGAGGGGTCTCTGCTGGTGGGCTCCGTCCATATCTGGGCTGAAGGACTCTGGGTGCTTCAACCTGTCTTTAAGGAGAAAATGATCAAGCTATGAGGTTCACTGTGTTTCTCCTGCTTTGAGATAGGGTGGGAAGCTGTTCCACCTTTGCCCACGCACCTTAGAGCTGTGGTCCCCTCCATCCAGTGAGACCCTGGGGTTCTCGCTCACTGGAGAGCACAGGCAGCAAGGTCGAACTCATTAAATGGGAAAAAGTTACGGAAAATGTGGGGAAAAAAAATCAATAAAGAGATGCTCTTGGTAATAATCTGACTCCTTTTCTGCCCACCCCTGTGATCATTTAGGTCCGGTTCCTTGAGCAGCAGAATCAGGTCCTGGAGACCAAGTGGAAACTCCTCCAGGAGCAGGGTACCACAGGGACGTGGGGCAGAAGCCTCAACCCCCTCTTTGAAACCTACATTGCTGGACTGCGGAAGCAGCTGGACACCCTCTCCGGTGAGAAGCACCGTCTGGAGTCCGAGCTGAAAGGCTTCCAAGACATGCTGGAAGACTTCAAGACCAAGTACGTTGCTCTCGCTGTAGTCACGACTGGGCTATCTGGTGATGAGAAGGTAGAGATAAAAACTTACTGTGAGCAGTCGGAAAGTTCAAGGAATCGTAAGGATTTCACTTGCTTCAGGGATTAGAAAGTGCAAAAGGTTTTGGGGAAGTTTTTGTCAGCGGAGTTTTGGTAGGAGTTGGTGATTTTTCAAGGTGTTTCCCAACGTGTGTTGTTGCGTGAGTTGCACTTCTCACTGAGGCAGGATCCTCTGCTCTTTGCCTTCCTCACTTAAGAACCCCCGACATTATGATTTAATGAACTAATTAGATCAGTTGCTAAATCCTACTGTAATTTCCTGACGGATTTCCTCATGGGTTCCTTCCCATAATGTGCTTCATGGCTTGAAGCTTAGAGCTTTCTCTGGAAAGGTAGCGTGGGGCAAAAAAAAACGAAAAAAAAGAAAAAAGAGTGGATTCTTTTCCTGCTGCTATTTATCAGATTCATTTGTCCCGTCGGAAAAGCGAGAGCAAAGCCTGGAGAAACGATTCCACTGAAGGAGTTTCCAAAAATGGTGGGAAGGAAAGTCTGGGGCTCAGCAGGGTCCGCCAGACCCCTTGCTCTGCTGAGGCTGCAGGCTGCAGGCTGAAGGCTGGCTTAGTTTTGGAGGTCACCTCCACCACCTGCCG